TGACACAGTAGGCATATGACTCTTTTAATAGTCATTTCAAAAGTGACTTCAACTCTCATGTAATCCAGTTACCCAGGATCTCTTGATTCTACCAATTATTTCTAATTTATTTGCACAATGTTTTGAGTAGCATTAATGATATTATTAATGTTTCATAAATGAGAAAACCAAGGTACAGGGTGGAAAAATAGTTTGTGGCATCAGCTTGCAGGCATAATTTTTTTTGAACTTTGAAAGATAAGTTATAATGGTCATATATTAAGAAACCTTTCTTCTCCACATTAATTCTGTCTTGTGGGTCAGTATAATGGCTTTAGCCTCACTGTTTTTAAGGAATTTGTGATGAATTAGTATTTTTTAAATTTTCTTTTTGAGATGTAAAATGTCCTGATCAATTCTAGTTTATAAGTTTTGGGGGAGATTTAGTGTGTGTGTGTGTGTGTGTGTGTGTATGTATGTAGTAGTAGTAGTAGCAGTAGCAGTAGTAGGTGATCATCTTTGGCCTTGGTTTTTAACAAGAATTTTGAAAGTTTGTTACAATTAGCAAACTTCTCTTCCAGTTTTTATTCAGTTTTCCTTTATTCCCTTTGGAACTAGTGGACATGACCCAATTATTTTTTGAGAATTCATTTCACAGAACAGTGTGTTAAAATATTTTTATTCTTCTAATCAAGTTCAATGCAAGAACTGGCAGGCATCCATAGCTTCAATTCTTTAACATGCAAATAATTCTATTCCTTGGTTAAGATATTGGCTCCATTATTATGCTTACTGGTTCTGGGGTAGCAGGATATGACCTGAAAAACATAGCTGCTTTATACATAAAATAAATGTTTTTTCTCTTTCAGCATTTTATCTTGATTTTGTTAGTCATATAACTCTCTCTTTGAAGTATATAATAGTATGGTTAGAGTATAGTAGAAGAAGAATACCATATATATTAGATATTAAGTTTATTGTTGAATAATATTTAAATTATTACAAAATTCAACATGACTTTTTGCAACATCAGAATTTCTTAATAAAAAAGTGGATCCAGTACCTTCACTTGTTTGATTTAGTATGCCATGTGAGTCTTAGTAAATTGACATTTATTTTGAAAATACATTATGTCTAAGTTATGGCTGAGAGATAAATATGTGTAGTAGATTAACTTGATTTTTACCTTGAAAGTATTATAGAGATGAACATTGAGAACCATACATACTAGTAATGTTAGATGTTTGTTAAAATGTTCTAGGTGTTTAAAGTATAATACAGTTGTTCTTTTCCTATATTTGATTAGAAAAAAAATGATAATTTGTGGGGGAATAGAATGAAAAGAAAGAGAAAGGATGAGCAGGGTTGAGGCGGGTGGGGCATATTAGGTTCCGAGACCTGCCATAGCAGAGCACCACAGACTGAGTGGCTTAAAACAACAGAAATGTATTCTCTCCTAGTTCTGGAGATAAGAAGTCTAAAATGAAGGTGCTGGCAGGGCCATGCTCTCTCTGAAGGCTCTCGAGGAAGATCCTTCCTTGCCTCTTGCTTCCTTCTGGTGGTTATCCACGATCCTTGGCTTGTAGACACATAAGTCTAATCTCTGCCTCCGTTGTTACATGTTATTTTTCTTCTGTATCTCTGTGTCCACATTTCCCTCTCCTTTTAAGGACAACAGTCATTTTGGATTTAGAGTTAGTAGGGCCCACCCTAATCCAGTAGGACCTCATCTTAACTTGATTACATCTGCAAAGACCCTGTTCCTAAATAAGGCCAAATTCACTGATTTAGGACAGATGTAAATTATGGGGAGACACTATTCAACCCAGTACAGAGGGCTCTAAATTTAATTTATATTTTGAGATTTAAACCAACACAGTTTATATAAAAGCAAACAGGTAAGATACAGCTTATGTAAAAAGCATTTTCATTTGCAATTATATTTACATACATGCTTCCCCTAGGTAACTAGTATTTTTTTTAAAAGCATTTTTTAAAATTTGATTTGAGAGAGAGAGAGAGAGAGAGAGAGAGAGAGAAACACCCATGGGAGAGACAAACATCAACTGATTGACTCCTGCATGCATCCTAATCAGAGACCGAACTCGAAACCTGGGCATGTGCCCTGATGGAGTGGAACCTGAGACCTTTCCATGCACGAGACAACGCTCCAACCAACCAAGCCACACCCACACTGGCCAGGGCTCTAGTGTTTTCCATTTATGTAGCAGAGATTGCATTAAAGGAATATTTGGTTATGAAATATCTATTTATATAGATGTGGAACCAGAAGACTTTTCACACAGCTCAATATTTATAGAACCAAGCTAGACTTTTCTTGAGTGTTTTAACTGCTGTTAGAATAATACTTTTGTTCTTATTTATTTTAAATCCGTAACACTGAACATTGCCTGATGCTGATTTACTGAATGAAGAGTGAATTAATAAAAGAATGATGTGTGTGTGTGTGTTTGTTTCCATTGAGGGGTTGTCAATAGAGGCAGGATTTGGTGAGTTTTCATTTAGTAAATGAATTCTCCTTAGTCCTTTTAAAAAAGCCAATTGATGGCATTCTTCACACACTATTCTATATTTTGCTTTTATTATAGTATGCTATTCTGTATCAGTATACAAATGCTATAATTGCATAATATTCCATTGCACAGATATATTATAATTTAACTAGTCTTCCTTTTTTATTTTTAATTGTGATAAATACACATAACATAAAACATACCATCTTAACCATTTTTAGGTGTATGGTTCAGTAGTGTTAAATATATTCACATTATATAACCAATCTCTAGAAATTTTTAATATTGCAAAATCAAAACTCTATATGAATTAAACAACAACTTCCCATTTCTCCCTCCTGGAAACCACCATTCTTTCCATTTCTATACATCTTAGTCTCCCTTCCTAGTTGTTTTTATCTTTGCTCTTAAAAACAATGCTGCTATAGCCTTAGATATGTGTCATTTTGCATGAGTAAGTATTTCTGTAAGATGAATCCCTAGAAGTGAAATTGCTGGGTAAAAAAGATTTTCACGTTTCTTAGTTTTGATATATTGCCAAATTGACTTTCAAAATTATTGCACCAATTTATATTCCTCCAGCAATGTATGATATAGTAGCTGTTTAAATATGTTGCAGTAAAATTAGGATGTCAGTCAAACTGAATAGGGAACTTGGGAAAGGATGGGTACTGTGGAGGGAAGTTAGTGGTGCCGCGTTGTGCAGGACCCTGGGCTCTCCTACTGTTCTCCCTCTACTCTACCTCGTTCCTTACGGATTACTTAACATCCGTGATGCAGTGTCCATACCGCATTCATTTTAAAAATTTGCCCGGCTGGTGGGTCAGTGGTTAGAGCATCGGCCTGAGGACCAAAGGGTCGAGGGATCAGGGTTCAATTCCCGTTGCAGGTTCCCTAGCCCCGGTAAGGGCTCCTGAGAGAGGCAACCAATCAGTGTGTCTCTCTCACATTGATATTTCTCTCTTTCTCTCTCTCCCTTCCTCTTCCTCCCTCCCTTCCACTCTCTCTAGAAATCAATTTTAAAAAATCCTCAAGTGAGGATTAAAAATAAATAAATAAATAAAATGAAAAAATTTTCCCACACAGTGTAAGCTATTTGAATATTAGTATTAATATCTAATAGAGTGATTGGAACACCGCACTTTGCAAGTGGGAATCACAATGTAGATGGTAGGGGCAAAAGTAGGTTTACAGATGTGAGCATGTAAAACAAAGAGTTTATTCTTGTATTATTATTTATTCATTATTATATTATTTTCTTTACAAACAGCTGTACACCTACTTTCCCCCCCACCCTGTATGTTCAACCCAGCCGAAAATTTCCTTAATTTAAAATTTTAAGAGATCTGAAATGAATGGATGCCTTGCTTAAAGAAAATATTTTTAATAGAAAGAAAAAATTAGCAGAACCCCTTTCTAATGAGCTCTTCTGAAGAGCTCCCTCTATTGTGAGGAGCTTAGTTGTAGTGGAGTGACAGTGAAGAGGGGTGGAGAGGAGGGAGGCTGGAGGAGGTGAAGCAGGTTTCCTCATCCCTATCATCCCTATTTCATCCGGAAGGATGACCTACAGGTGGCTCGACTTCTTTCCTTGTAGCCGTGAGTGAGATGAGCGAATACTAATGTATAACCAGCCTCTGGTAATTCATGTCGTAAGCTTCTTGGTAGGATACTAATGTTTGAAACTGGTGCTCAATTTCATTCTTTTCTGTGAAGTAAATTGACTGTAAAACGAGGCATAACCTCATGGAGATATCTCTGTTTTTCCTTAGAGTATACACATAGGTTTTGGCTCAATGACTTTTTATCTGGAGATTTTTAATAAATGTAACATCTTTATTTTCTTATTTTAAGATGAAAATACTTAACATATTTTTGTAATATTTGCATATATTATTCTAAAGCAGAATTTGAAGGACTCTGGGACTCACTTCCTAATGATGATCAGTATTAATAGTTTGGGATTCATCCCCTTAGGCTTTTTTCAATGTATTTACAACATATAAATGTTATTTCTTCTTTAAAAACGTGTAATCATACTATATACACTGTTTTATGATTTTTCTCTGTTTATTTGATAACAAGTCCTTTTTGGGTTAGGGTATAGAAATACCCTCCATCCTTTTAATGGATTTATACTCTTCCATTATATCATAATTTTCCTAGCCATTCTATTGGTGAACATATAAGTTGCATTAAACATACTTTATGCTTATCTTTGCCTATGTGGACAAATGTTTCTGTAGGATAAATTTTAAGAAGTAGGACTTCTAGATCAAAGAGTCTGACCATTTTATATTTTAATAGATGTTTTGGGGCTCTGCAAAATGTTATATCAATGTCCTGATTTTTATAGGAAATAAAGTTCTGAAGTTGCAGAAGTTTTAGCTAAGTGTTGTATATATCATTATTAATATATACCAGTTCTTCTAATATAAGGTTTCTAATAATGTAAAAATCTTTAAAATGACAGCTTGTTTATTCTTACAGTGATGGAGTGGGGGGACGATATTAAAGCAGTTATGGAAGATGAAGCAGTAATGCTGGTGAATCATCAGGCAACAGGAGATGTGTGTACTCTGATGATGTGCCTCCAGGACAAAGGGCTGGTAAGCCATCCTGATGGCGGCAGTAGACAGCAGAAAGGGGAGGTTAACAGAACCAATTCAAGTACCTTATGGTTTGGAACATAGACTTTAATATGTATATTTTTCCTGAAAATTTAGAAAAATTTAAAAGGAAAAATATGTAATTCTGAGTTACTGCGGAAGAGGAGTTTAGAGGCTTTAAAAAAAAAAATGACGGGGATAATGTGAATTATATCTCCATAAAGCTGTTTTGTTAACAAAGTTAGTATGGTTTAAATCGGGGGCTGTCTTGAGGTGAAGTGGTAGATTGCCAGTTTGAGAAATACAGACACCAAAAGCAGTATTGCTTAAGATAGAAGAGTAAAGGTGGTCAGTGAATTTGGGGATCTTTAGCCAAAGGAAAAGAAGGCAAATACTATTTTGGATTTCATTTGTAAAGCATATTGGAAGGAAAATATCAGACTCATTTATTGTTGCTAAGGCTGTTTGAACTGTTGATTTACGTTGCTTCTATTGATAACTAAAAGAGATGTATATACTGGGTGGGCTTAAAATAAATTGTCTTTAGCATGAAAGGAATTATCACCTTAGGAGAAGTTAATGAGGTTCTATTCTTAGAAAACGAAATAAGTAGGAAGTATATAAAGTTAATGGAGCTAATATTTGGCCTAATAATAAATAAACAAATTACTAAGTATTTACTGAATGCTTCGTATTCATGGTCAGTGACTATAAATATAGAATACCATCCTATGAGACACTCTCCGACTCTTAAAGGAATTAACAGGCCAGTGGTAGGTGGAGGGAGGGTGTGGCAAGCAATACATAAGTGCACAATGAAAAGCATTCAGTGGCAGGTGAGCTCACAAGTACTGGATGGATATAGAAAACTCTGTGGAGGGAAGAGGACATAAACTTGACCTTGAAGAAGGAGAATTTAGTAAGGCAAAGTAATGAAATAAGGGCCTTGTTCTTTAGGGAGAGTCTTGGCCAAAATACCAAGGCAAGAATAAAACTGGTGTGCTTAGATCCTAGAGATTTTGATTCAGTAGGTCAGGGGTCAGAAAATGAGGTGAGAGTCAAGGAAAATATGTTTATTATTGTGGAGTCTGTTTTTCTTGTTTATATGAAAAGCAGAGGTATTATCTTGCTGGAATGTGGAATAAATTCGGTTCTTTCTTCAATTCACAATCTTGACTTGTTAAAAAACTATCCTGTATAGGTATGTTTGTACTTCTAGTAATATTTATTGCCTGTCTCCTAAATTCATAATGTTAAAATTTTGTAAAAATTAGTTTATTTGGCTTTGTATCCCCAATTCCTATTTTTATTCTTACTGATGATAATTACACTTATAGTGGTTATTCAGTGTCCTTAATTAGTTTTGAATCTCAAAGAATGATTCAAATGGTCCGTATAAATATGCCTAACATTATTACTCTAACTCCAGTTTGACATAGATGATAACTGTATTAACCAGACATAGTTAATCTGAAATTCACCAATAATGTGGACAAAAGAAAGTTTTCTTTGTAAAAAGATTTCAGTTAGTTTGTCTTAGGTTCCTTTTTCTGTACAGAGTAATTTTGTTTTTGCTTTCTGATTATACTAAACGTTTTTTATGATCTGATATTATTGAACAATTTGAAATCTTAAAGCATTTTAAAATCTTCTTTCATAAAGGAGTAATTGAGAAATACAGAGCAGGAAGTATTATAATCTTTACTTATTGCCTAATAAGTTAGGGCAGTATTAATTTATATTTACAAGTAGGATTGTTTACTTGATTTATTTCATACTCCATGGTGCAATCAAAAGAAAGGACTCTCAACACTTAGAGAGTTGTCTACTAGACTATAATCAGGTTTCTTCTATTCAACATTTAGTTATTTCTTGTTTTTAAATATTTTAGGTTGTTGCTCAAATGATGTGGTTGATGGATCATATTTTTAAGTACACAAACTTTGGAATTGTTTCTCTAATTCATGGAGACTTCTTTATAAGACAGGTAAGTAATGAGCTTTTCCCCCCACAGTGATAGCCTGATCAAACTGATACTTTATTATATAGAAAGGCATAACAAAACCAATTACAGCAGTAAAGTCAGGGCCTTTCCTCTGACTCTTTATTCCCTAAATCATTTATTTCAGTCTGAGCTTGAGTATGCATGAGCATTAAAGTGCTGATACTGTAAACATTATAATCTCTACCCTCCTTCTCCCATCTAAACAGTACAACGTTCAATAAGTACCTATCAAGCACCTGCCATAGTCTCAGCTCCTCTACTTTGTAGTTACGTGAATTGGGCAAGTTATTTAAACTCTCAAAGTTTCCTCATTTTTCAAATGAGAATAATAGGTACTCCCCTCATAGGTTTGTTGTGGGGATTAAATGAAGTAGTACCTGTGAAGCACTCAGCACAGTGCCTGCTACCTTTGTCATCATATTTGTCATGATCACCACTATCATCATCTATATTATCACTATTTTTATTTGCACGTCACTGTTATATGAGGTATGTAAATTAGCAGTAGAGAAATTATTAAATAAATAAGAGGAAATATTTTGAGAATTCATAGTAGGAAAAGTGAGTACATCAAATTTCGGTGAATCCAGAAAAACTTTAGAGGAAAAGATGATATTTGGTATACATATAGAGAATGAGTATGGGTTTGATAAAAGAAGATGGGTTGGGATTGAACCTCAAGCATTAGGAATAATTTAGTGTGTAGGAAAAAGTATCACAGCCTCTTATCAAGTCAGCACTACATTATAATATTTCCCTGCTATGCTACTAGTTTCACACACTTTACTTTCTCAGAAATGGGCAACTGAAATATGCAGGCATTTTTATGTATGGCAATGCCACACTTAGATGGTGTTTATATATTTGGCAAATTAAACCAGGATTGTGCAGTACCTTACACATAATAAGTACTTAATGAATAACTAGTGAGTCTAATTAAACCTTTCCTAAGAACCACAAATTGAAAATAAGCTGGAAGTATGTAAGAAAATTCTAAGCTCTATGAAAATAGGTGTCATAAAACACATATTCTTCAGATAGTTTTATGTACAGAACATGTTTTTGTTTTTCACATGCTATGCAATTATCTAGTTTCTTCTGGAAACACCCTTGGTTCTTCTGAGCAGAGATGAACAGACATATGCTCTGGAACCTCAGGGAGAATTGGAAGTGGGGATTGGCCACAGGTTGAGACAAAATAAATAGTGACCAGAACAACAAAGAAACTAGCCTAATATTTCAGAGTATCTCAGCAATTGAAGCACAGCAGTTTAGGAGAATCCAGAGAAAAAACTAGCTGAGCCCTTTGCATCATGGGAGTCTAAGGAAATTATTGAATTTATAGTGTAGTGTGGTATAATAAGTGACCCTAATATGATTCTCAGTTATCAAAAAGAGGCTGTTATACTAAATTAATGGTGTACTTTGAGAGGATAAAAGTAGAAAGTAATGCACTCTAAAGCATTTTTTTGTTACATTATAAAGGCTTGCATACTTAAAGACTATTTTAAATATCAGAGAGATTTGCAAATTCTTTTAGATGGTAACAAAATCTATAATATGGAAGGAGGGGAGAGGGAAAAATATTAATGGTAAAGAAAATCTCTTGGGACTTTGCTACTAGATGATTTTGACAACTTATTTCCAAGAATATTAAAAATATTTTATAAGTAGACTTGGGAACTTACATACATGAAGCTTAATCATAATTCAATTCAGTAAATTAGCTAAGAAAACGTCTTACTTGTTTTGCATTTGGAATAATGTAAAGACTGAAAGCTTACAGATTATTTTAGGGAGCTTCTGTAATTGCGTTGGCTGGAAAATTATTAGTGAATTGATCATACTAGAAGGAAGAACCTTTGTAATATTTAGTTGTGGATTTTGGGACTTTCTAAAACTTTTTCTGGATTCCTCTTTTCGTTCTCTAAGTCATCCTCTTTCTTTCCCTAAAATCCAATGCATCAGAGTGTCCTGTTGGCTTGACTTTCAATTTTTTTCCCCTGAATGTATCTACCTCTCATCAATGTACCATAGTCAGATGTCATCAAACTCCTTTGTCTGGACAACTGCCAAAGTCTTCTTATTTATCTCCTTAATCTTTTTGTCACTGGAGCCAGATTATTTTTTTAAATTTATCTTTATAACCCTAGCTGGTTTCGCTCAGTGGATAGAGCATCGGCCTATGGACTGAAGGGTCCCAGGTTCGATTCCATTCAAGGGCACAATGCCCGGGTTGTGGGCTCGATCCCCAGTAGGGGTCGTGCAGGAGGCAGCTAATCAATGATTCTCATCATTGATGTTTCTCTATCTCTCTCCCTCTCCCTCTCCCTTCCTCTCTGAAATAAATAAAAAAATAAATTTAAAAAATGTAACTTTATGTTGAAAGTATTACAGATGTCCCCTTTGTTTGTTTGCTTTTTCCCCGTTGACCTTTGGTGTATGGGACGACACAACAACTGAGCCACACTGGCCAGGGCTCTCTGAACCTCTTGACCCTCTCTGTGCTCTTATTCTTTCTTCCTAACACTAATCGCCAGTTGAATTTTCACTCACTTACTATCTTCCCCACTTGAGTAACGTCCATGAGGGTCTCTTACTTCTCTATCTCTAGTGTGTAGTGTTTCTGGGAAACCCCCAAGTGGGCTTGGGCTGCCTGTCGCAGTGTCCAATAACGCAGGTAGGGTTGAATCATATCAGGCATTTATTGAGAAGGCCAACCAACCAAGAAGACAGGGAGTTTACAAGCATCCAAAACTTGTCTTGCAGATAGGTGCAGGGGACAGGATTATAAAGGGGAATGGTTAGAGCAGCCGTGGGCAAACTACGGCCCGCGGGCCGGATTTGGCCCGTTTGAAATGAATAAAACTAAAAAAAAAAAAAGACCATACCCTTTTATGTAATGATGTTTACTTTGAATTTATATTAGTTCACACAAACACTCCATCCATGCTTTTGTTCCGGCTCTCCGGTCCAGTTTAAGAACCAATTGTGGCCCTCGAGTCAAAAAGTTTGCCCACCCCTGGGTTAGAGTGAGGCCGAAATGCAGCTACACGGAGTCCTGGAGGTCCGCAGAGTTCAGCTATTGTTCTTGGTCATCAGTGATGAGATGATGTCTTGACTCTTGATGGGGTTGGCCTGACCGTTTGCTTGCTTGCTGGGTACATTGTCTATTGTCTGCAGTTGAGTCAACTCCTCAATCACTATGTTCGTGATCAAAGAGAGTATGCAGGTGCACCAGCCTAAGAAATGAAACTTAGAAAGACAACCCTCTGTTCACATAAGTATATGTATTCTAGGATTTTTAAAGTAATATGATTATTTTCCAGATTAATTCAGGTGTTCTATCAGATTATAAGTCTTCCTCCCGTCAGTAGGACTTTGCCTGGCAAGGAGGAGGCACTCAGTAAACAGTCACAGAATTGATGAATGAATGAACTTTCAGGGGCAATAAGAGCAATTTTTTCCATTAGAAAGAAGGGTTTATTTATATGATACTGTTAACTTCTTTTTACCACTATGGTCAAGATGGGCTTAGGTAAGTTGAGGGAAATCACCATTCTAGTTTATGATTGGATTTTACTTTAGAAGCTGTTACCACTATTTAATTTTATAGCAGTTTCACGTCAAATGTACCTATACTTATTATGTGTGTCTACCTTCTAGGGAAAATCTCATCGTGACCAACAGCTTCTTCTTCTCAGGAAGCACCTAGAAAATAATTATAGGAACAGAGATCGAAAATGGATTGTTTTATTTCCAGAAGGGGGCTTCCTCAGGAAGAGGCGGGAAACAAGTCAGGCATTTGCCAAGAAAAAAAACTTGCCATTTCTTACACATGTCACTCTGCCAAGGATTGGAGCAACACAAATTATTTTGAATGTACTTGTGGCACGACAGCAAAATGGAAGTCCAGCAGGAGGAGATGTTAAAGAATTAGGTATGATGGTTGTTAGCATTTTTTGCCTTTGTTGGAGTTAAGGAGTTCCAGATGATAGCGTTGTTCTTTTCTATATTTATACTTTTTGTCAAATAGAAATGATACTCAGAGAGAAGATGAAATACAATGTTAAGGGTTTTTATTTACAAAGGTAGTTCATGCTTACAATAATTCATCCAAATAATACAGAAATGCATGAAGTCAAAGTTGTCTTTTCCTTACCTTACCTATTCTTACTCCTGGCGATTCTCACTGCTACAGTAAAAGCTCCTGTAAATATATTTACATTTTTGTGGAAGTATTTCTGTGGTGTAGATTCCTAGAAGTGGAATCGCTAGAGTAAAAGACATAGGGGAGAGAAGTGACTAATTTGTGAAACTAAAAATAGATATGCAAATAAAAGTAGTAATGAAGTTTTTTTTCACTTATAAATTTAGAAAGCTTTTTTGTTTGTCTTTAATACAGAGAATGAATTTACTGTAGTTTGGCATTATTTAAGAACCTTAAAATGTTGATAAATGACTCAGTTACTCACTGCAAAAAATTCTTATTAAAAGGAAATAATCTTTACTTTCAACAATAAAGATAAGTTAAAAGAAAAAAAAAAGAAATAGCCTGAAATACTGGCAAAGCTTATTACAGCATTATTTATAACAGCAAAAAAGTTGGAAATAGCCAGAGGGGAAACAGGATAGGTAATTATAAAGTAGCCATACAACAGAATACAACACAGCCTTTACAAATGATGTTGGTGTTTTCTTGGCTTGGAAAGATACTTATACTCTCTAATGTTAATGGACTGGGAGGAACATACAACTCTGGTGCAGACCATCTGAGCCCAAAGACAGAAACAATAAGGCAGTAGAAAATGAGTGAAAGATATCAAAATGTTAACTGGGATTGCTTCTCTGAGTTGTAACATTATGATTTTGTTTCTCATTTCTTACTTTTTTCTGTATATTTTAAAAAATAATGAGTATATATTACTTTTATGGCCAAGAAAAAGTAAATCACACTCAAAGATGCAACTGCAAATCTTAGACAAGCCTGGTGAATTGTGAAGATTTGCAGACAGTTTGTGCCAACAAGATGAAGACTGTCATGAGCAAGTTTAAGACACTGTGACAGTTTGGTGATAGAAGCTGAAAGAAACTCAGTAGGCCTATTTCCTTAGTAGCATTTTGCTATTTTTTAAAATATTCTTTAGACAAAGTAAAAATAGGAATGATAGGCCCTCAGAAATATGTATTTTTAAATGACAATAAGGACCAGACATAGAAATAATGTGAGATTACACTGAGTTTTCCTTTTATTTGTTGTGTTGTTTTTTTCTAAGCAACTGCTTGGCAGACAGCTCTCTTAATCTTTCATCATCTATTAAGACAACTTGAAAAAGTCTTTTAATAGAAAAGGAAGGTTCAGAATAGCTTTGCTGCTAGAGAGCCACTGTGGCAATGTCAGCCAAGACAAAACTTGAAGACAAAGGACTTCCAAGTAGGATTTGTTGCACTCACTAGGACTGCTGTTTTTAAATCCTTATATCCAGTCAGTCCCCTGTGATGTTGTAGATCTCAAATGTAGGGACAATTTTCACACAGATTACCAATGATGAAGAAAAATGTTTTTTTCCCCTTGGGAATGAGACAACTTTTGCTTATAACCAAAGCGAAGTAGTTTATTCTCTTACCTTAATTAAAATTTTTATTCTGTTTAGGAAAAATAAGATATTCTAGAAAATTGTGTACTCAAAATCTAGTTTATTTGTATTTTACCATTTTTCTCTCTATGTTATGGTATTATGTATTTTATTTTGTTGACGATCCATATTAGTTATTTAGGGATTTATTTCATACAAACACACATGTCTTTGTGTCTGTTTTAATATTTAATCCATACACATTTCAAAGTTAAGTTGTGTCTGTTTAACTTTAAATGATTAGGTTTTCTTTGTTTACTAGTATTGTATCATTTAATAGATATTAAAAAACAATTCTTGTGATTTCCCCCCCCCGTGGTTTTATTATAAATTTTTCAAACATATGTAAAAGTTAAAACATTTTTATAGTTAATATCTATGAGCTGACCAACTAGATTCTGTAATTAACGTTTTACTATAATTTACTTTATCATCTCTCTGTCCATTTTTGTATCTATCCATTAGTCAGTCTTGTTTGTTTGTTTTTTAATGCATCTCAAAATAAGTTGCAGACATTAGTATACCCCTCAATATTTCAACATGCATGTCATGGGTAGCTTGTCAAAATGTGTTTTGTTACATAAACTCTGTTCCTGTAGCACTATGTTATTAAAAACATTTTTTAATTTTTTATAAGCATTACCCCCCCTCAGGATGTTGCCTAAAAAAATTTAAGGCCAGTTTATAATTATTTGACATACAAAAGTAAAATATCATTGATTCCTAATGTACATTTGGACTTAGGTTTGAAAATAAGTTTTCCTTTTTAGGGATCTCACATACCTCAGATAAAAGATAGACCATAAAACGTTAACATCTGGCTATCAGCATTCTCTGTGAAGATTCCCCTCCAATTCTTGCTCAAATTGTATTCCATGCTGGCAATAAAAACAGCACTTCCATTCCCTCTCACAACGGTAGTTACCTGTTATACCGACCAGGGCAAACAAGTTTATTGCTTTAGTTGTATGTAACTCTTGCTACAGTGGAAGGAGTTTTTTGGTTTTGTTTCAGACAAGAAAAGCAACTGGCGATCATGTGTGTCAATAAAATGTTTACTTTTATTGACTTATTCCAATATTTATTAATGTCTCTCTGGTGTCACAAACCTTGGTGTTCATACTATATTGTGTTATATTTAGTGAATGTTTTTGAGGCCATTTTTGTGATGTGATACTTTAGTTTCTGACCTTTTCATAGTCCAGTTTTTTATGAGTGATAAGATATAAAAAATTAGACATTGGTAGTGCATAATAGTATTGACTACTTGAATGATACATGTCCAATACATAATAGTGCTGTGATTTGCTAATTTGTTTGAAATCTATCTTTTTTATAATATAATAGGAAATTCTTCATTCTAAATGCATCATATAGAACAGTAATACCAAAATTCATCCTGTTTTCTTAAAGCAAAAGTTATATCAATATGCTTTATACTCCTCAAGTAACCTATACTGTTGTTTGTTGTAAATAATATAAAAATTGACCCAATTTTAAGTTGCTTTTTCTTTGTTCTCAGACAGCAGATCAAAAGGTCTCCAGTGGATAATAGATACAACTATAGCTTATCCCAAAGCTGAACCCATAGATATTCAAACCTGGATCCTTGGATATAGGAAACCGACAGTCACACATGTACATTACAGGTAAGGATTCTATATTAGTACTGAACATATATCCAACATAAAGCACTATCTCAGAACAGTGCGATGTTTCAATATTAAATTTTTAATCGATTTTTTTTTCTGTTCTCAGAAAGATTGGCTTTTTGTTCAGTTTCTAGTTGTTTGGTTATATTTTTAAAATTTTAAACAAGGATGAGATGTTTTCGACTACAATAAGAGATTTTAAAATGCAACATTAGAAATCATATATACACAAATGTGAATGATATAAATAACTGGGGTTAGATCTCTTTCTCTTTAAATCTAGGGAGGTTGGTAGGAAAAACAAAACAGCATTGATTGCCTCAAGTGGGAAATGGGTGCCCAGAGAGATAGAAAAAGGTGATCTGGAAACTATAAATTTCACTGAAAAATAGTAGTTTTGCTTAATGTGGGCTACCTAATCTTCACCTATAGGCAATTTTAAAAACTATTCATAAGTGTATTTTTTTCTGCAGTTAAGCATAATTTATCTTGAATATTATTATTAAGCCATATGGTGCAAAAGCCAATTTTGCTTCACATGATATAGAACAAGTATTTGTTTTCTTCTTAAACTCAGCTGATTTTTAAAATATATATGTATATATTATTGATTTTAGAGGGAAGAAGGGAGAAGGATAGAGAGATAGAAGCTTCGATTGGCTGCCTCCTGCACACCCCCACTGGGGATTGAGCCTGCAACCCCGGCACATGTCCCAACCAGGAACTGAACCGTGACCTCTTGGTTCATGGGTGGACACTCAACCACTAAGCCACACCAGCCAGGCTAACTTTTTTTTTTTTAATTAAATAAAGCAGGCAGCCCATCCTAGGACCTTGATGGCCAGAGGTTCCCTGAGTTTCAGTGAGTACATTGTTTGAGCACCAAATGATATACTGATTAAAAAAGTATTATAGAACTACAAAGCACCTTACAAATATAATGTACTATTACTAAGATATATAAAGTTATGTGTATGGATTATTGCTAAATCCACTATTAGTAAATGAACCTTCCCCATAGATTGGATGTAAGCCACTTACTACTTCAAGAGAAAAAAATGTATTTTCTTATTCCTGACTTTATTTTTTTTTTTTGACTTCCCAATATTATGTATTGTTTAACTAGGGAAATATTTGTGATTAGTTTGCTTACAACTACATTATTGATCTTTTTCAAGAGTAAAGCTTGTTTTAAAATAAGAGGAACTAAAGGTTTAACTCTGGGGAACATTTGAAGGGAACAACTTTCCTCACCCTCTCCCCTTTGTATTCCTGTCACACTGGAAAGCAGCTTCTCCCTATTAAAGAAGTAATGGGTGCGGTGTGCTGCTGTTAAGGAGTTAATAGGAAAATTGAACATGATTAGATTTTAATCACAGGGGCAAGGTGTTTAAAGGGATAAAAGCAAAAGTAAGCCCTGTCCTTCAAATAAATGTCTGCTTCACTTCAAGTCAGAATAGTGAGTTAGATAAGCTGATTGTCTTGTGCAGAAGGAGCTTACAATTTCATTGTCAAAATCTTGAAAAAAGATGTAACCGTGAGTGTAGTGGCATAGCTAGATTACCAGAAGCAGGTGTGTGGCTTTCGTGTCTGATTTGATTGGGACTTTGGTTACTTTGGAAAAGGCATTCAATTAGAGACTTTGGGCAAGAATTTATTTTCAGTTTTGAGGGGAAATTAATTCAGAAAAGGAATATTTAATGTTTTTTAAGAAACTATGCTCATTAGCAAGAGTGGGCAAATGTTAACATTTTGATATATTTGCCTCAGGACTTTATTTATTAATAAAAGAAATAAAGCATTTCTAGTAAAGTTCCCATTGTTTCCCTTCCCAGTTCCATACCCCTTCCCTCCTACCCTTGAAGCCACTACCATCATAAATTTGGTGGGTATTCTTTCTGTTCTTACACTTTTATTATACAGATATGTTTATAATATATAATATTGTTTTGTATGTTTTTAAAAATGTATATAACCATACATGGATATGCCATCTTGCAACATGTATTTTCCACTCTGTTGTTTACTAGGTCTTTTTATTTTTATGTTTATGGCTCCCTTTCATTCATTTGAACTGTAAACACTATTTAACTATTCTATTCCCATTATATGATTGTCAAACCTTACCTATTCATTCTGTCATTGTTGGATACATATTTTCTCTGTCTTTTTGCTATTATAATAAGTAATATTGCAATGAACATTCTTATGGCTGGTGTGGTTCAGTGGTTGAGCGTTGACCCATGTACCAAGAGGTCACCAGTTCAATTCCCTGTCAGGCTACATGCCTAAGTTGCAGGCTCAACCTCCAGTAGGGGGTGTGCAGGAGGCAGCTGATGAGTATTTCTCTGACATCAATGTTCTATCTCTCTATCCCTCTCCCTTCCTATTTCTTTTTTTTTTTTTTTTTAATGCACTGCTATGAAATATAAGATTAGGGTTAAGGTACAGTCTTCTTTGAAAAGTTTAATTAATCACTATTGGGAATCTATTTGTGTGTGTGTGTGTGTGTGTGTGTTACCAATGTTCTTTTTTTTTATTATTATTGCTTAAAGTATTACAAAAAGTGTTACATATGTCTCCCTTTTTTTTCCCCGCCCTTGACAATCCCCTGGCCTCCCCTACCCCCCAGTGTCTTATGTCCATTGGTTATGCTTATATGCATGCATACAAGTCCTTTGGTTGATCTCTTACCCACCCCTACTATTGGGAATCTAAATGGTTTACTGATTGGTGTCTGTCTTCCCTGTTTAGAATGTAACCTCCACGAGAGCAGATACTTTGCCTGTCTTGCTAACAATTATATATTAAACTAATGCTGGGATATAGTACAAACACAGCACTTATTGAATATATGAATGCTAAAGTTCATGCTGTCTAGACATGCACTGTCCAGTGGTAACAGCCACTAGCCACATGTGACTATTGAGCACCTAAAATGTGGCTAGTCTGATATGATGTCCTGTAAGTATAAAATACACATTGGATTTCAGAAACTAGTAAGAAATAGGAATGCAAAATATTTCATTAATAATTTTTGTTGATGACATGTTGAAATGATATTTTAGATTTGGGAAGGTATTGAAGGATTAAACTTTCAAAATGCTACTAGAGAAATAACAGCAGGCTGAGAAATCCCATGATCTACTGCCTGCAAGCTGGACAACCAGGAAAGCCAGTTCCAAGGTCTGAGAAGGGGTGGGGGAAGAAAAGGTGATGGTGTAAGTCTATCTGAGTCTAAAAGCCCAAGAACCAGGAACACCAGTGTCCTTGGGGCATAAGGTGGATGTCGTAGCTTAAACAGAGAGAGTGGGCTCACCCTTATTCCACCTTTTTGTTCTATTCAGACCCTCAATGGATGGGATGATGCCCACCTGCGTAGGTGAGGGGAATCATTTTTACTCAGTCTACTGATTCAAATGCTTATCTTCCAGATACACCCTCACAGATACACCCAGAAATAATGTTTTACCAGCTATTTGGGCATCCCTTAGCCTAGTCAAGTTGACACACAAAATTAACCACCACAGTAGTCTACATAAAAACCCAAGAAACTGAGTTCAACATCTGTTTATCAGGTTCAGTAATCTTGACAAAAAACCATTACAGAACAATCAGTGGTATCCCTTTGTCCTGACAATAAAACAGAAAATGTAAGTTAAAAAAATACCACTCTCAGAAGCAAGAAGACTATAAAGTATCTACCAATAAAATGTAACAAGAAATGTATAAGACTTTTATGAACAAAAATAAAAAAATTTGTTGAAGAATATAAAAGGCCTTGAATATAAGTGGGAAGAGATACTGTGTTTGTTCATAAAGAGGAAGACTCAAAATTATAAAGATGTCAATTATCCAAATTAATCTATAAATTTAACATAATTCCAATTACATTATATCCAGGAGGATGTAGAATCAGAATCCAGGAGGATTTTTCTGGAAACTTGACAAAGTGGTTTTAAAATTTATTTGAGAGAGTAATGATAAATGAATAGCTAAAGTAGTTTTGAAGATGAATGAAACAGAAGCATTCTTCCTACCAGATATCAAGACTTAGCGTAATTAGAACAGTGTACTATAAGGGCAGGACCAGAGCAATAGAAAAATTAGAAAATCAAGATTTATTTGGGAACTTGTGTATGATTGAGTAGGCATCACATTTCAGTGGAAAAAGAATGAAGTAGTCAATAAATGAAATGGTTTGGGACCATTGATTCTACATATGAGGGAGCATAAAATTGAAATTTCACCCTTTATTATATCCCCAGGTAAATACCAGATAGATTTTTACCTCAACATCAATGATGAAACTTTAAAGTATTGAAAGAAAATTTAGGCAGCGCTTAGTGTTCTCATAGTAGGGTAGACCTTCCTTATAAGACACAAAAGTCCTAAGTCATAAATCATGAAGGAAAAATACAAATTTGACTGCATCAAAATTAAAATTAAATACAAATTTGCATCAAAAACAAAAGACATCACAAACGAATTTAAGGTGTTTGAAATGCATATAGCAAGGATTCACATTGAGTATACATGTAAAGAGTTTCTATAGATCAATAATTATTTATATTAAGTTTTGGTGAGGTAGAGAAAATGAAACAAATTGGTGCAGCCAATTTGAAGAACAATTTGGCAGTATTATAAGTTCTAACTCTATGACATAACAGTTCTACTTGGGACTATATACATATTCCAGAGAAAGACAAAGATATTCAAACATCATTTTTAGTAAGAGTAAAAAATTGGAAGCAACTTGAATATCCACCAGTAGAGGAATGGCTAAATAAAATGTACATTCTTCAAAGGAATATACTAAACAGAATTTTATATCTGAGTGCTTGACATCTTTAGTGGGGTGTCTATACTCATCTCTCAAGCGAAACTGTCCTAAAAATATGTGCTCCACATAGCTTTCCCAGTCTAATTATTGATAGCAACTTCCATCCTTCCCGTTATTCAGGTAAAAAACCTTGGTGTTATACTTGTCTCCTCTC